TATGATTACTATTTTATGTTAGGGTAATTATGGCATTCCGAGGTTTAGAGAATACCATGGTATTACTTTGGTACACGTCCCAAAAACAGTGTATGGTACTTCTTTGTAAGTAAGCAAGAATTTACTGTTTAAATACCATGCAGTTACATGGTTAGTCCAATGAACTCAAAGAATACCAAGGTATAACCATGTCCAAATACTACTGTATTTCCATGGCACCTTTTCCAAAATAGCTTTTTAAGCACTTACAGATAAGTAACAAAAGGTATATGTTCTAACATGGTTTTCTGTACATGGTATTATTATGGTACTTTGAGAATATACCATGCTATGTATGTGACATGTATGTGAATTTCATTATAGGCTATACTTTAAAAGTACCATAGTGTTACAACCTGATACCATCACTGTACCATTAGGGGTGGTTAATCTGTCTGATTTCCCGATTCGATTTGATTACGATTATTGAAGTCCCGATTCGATTACAGTCGATTTTCGATTATTAACGATTCTCGATTACCGATTATTGATTTTCCATTTCACAACAGTAAACGAAAATACACTAGATCAACATGTGATTATATTAGCAGCAGCAACATTTTGGTATTAATTGCACTTTTTATTTGTTTGATATTCATTGAAAATATAATGATGGTTAGTGAGGACATGCAAACATGCTTGTTGTCTACTACTTAGGCAACTCATTATCTTTACATTTATTAACTTTAATTTTTTTTTTTCAAAAGCAATTTTGTTGCATTATAATGCAAATGCACCTGGTTCTATTAATTGACAGCATTAAAATGTATTTTGTGATTTCCTTCAATTGAAAATATTTGAAGCAAGTTTGGGGGACTTGAAGGGCACACGATTCAGAGAATCACCTAGAAATTCAAAAGAATAGCATTTATCTGAAATAGAAAGTTTTTGTAACATTAAACAATACCGTTCAAATGTTTGGAGTCGGTAAGAATTTTTATTTAATTTTTTGGGCAAAAGAAAAAAAGAAATCTATACTTTTATTCATCAAGGATAAATTAAGTTGATCAAAAGTTAAAGTACAAGACATTTATAATGTTACAAATCGATTATCTGAATCTTTTGTGTGTGACTATAAATAATTTGCTTTAAAAGTACAAATTAATGACCCATAAAGAATTAATGCACAATATATTTTATTAACATTACAAAGAACGACCAGGAAAATAAATGTGTGCTTGAACTAGGAGCATATACTTGTAGTAAATAAATAATATAACGACTGGTGCAGCCGAGTGTTTTTCCTCCTCTGGCTGGAAAGGTGTCATATATGGCTTCTCATATTTGTCGTGTTTCCGTCATTGGTTTTATTCCACAAAGCGTACAACTAGTGCGGCTCTTGTCCAGCTCCTTTCCCCCTTCAACTTCAGAAGCCAAAATATTTCCACACGTCAGCTTTTAACCTAACAAGGAAAGTGTTTGGATCTCGCGTGCCATCTCATCTCTGTTATGTGCACGCCACAGACGGTCCCGCCACTGCACTTCCGCGCTTCAGAGTTCCGTCTTTCGCGTTCCGTCAATATTACGTTATTATAAATACATATAAAAAATTTTTTTTTTGAAATCGATTTTTTGACATTTGTGAATCGATTCAGGATCGTCCACGTCCGCATCGCGATGCATCGAGAATCGATTTTTTTCCCCACCCCTATGTACCATGATGCCTTTAAGGGTTGTAAAATCATGGCATTTTGTTGCATATTATGGTATTTCCTCAAATACCATGAAACTGTCATGGAAAATGTCTAAAACGTTGTACAAATTTCACAAATTTCTAGTAAATTTCACAAATAAGTACAAAGAAATGTCAAGTAATAGATTGAATTAAATGTGATTTTTTTTTTTAAGTAGACAGACTGAAAGTATATAACACATGCCAATCATATTTGTTTTATAAACTCATATTTGTCTATAAACTCTCCCTCCAGGACGAAAAAAAAAAAAAAAAATCAAAGGACAAATCCAGATGTTAGATCTTCATGTACACACATACAGACAAATGCCTTGGTGACCGGATATTTTTCATGACTTTTTGACTCCTCACCCTGTGATGCCATTTAAAGGTCAAAGGGTCAGATCTCTAGACGGAAGCGACCCGGGTGGGAATGAAGACTGCAGCGTCTCTCATCCCGTCAACCGTGCACGCATGCACACAAACTCACACAACCGCAAAGACCTGAAGCTGTAACCCCCTCAGCTTAAAACACTAATTGTTTTTGGACAGGGTAACATGAGCGAGGGATGAACCTGAGAGACGGATCAGTCGGAAGAGGAAAAGAGGAGGACGGGACCACGGGGCCAGAGATGTCAAATAAATTATACCTCTACTGGATAATACATTTTCACCTATGCGGAAGAGTGAGAGAGAGCAAAAAGCAGAAAGATACTTCAGGTGGTCCTCTGAAAACTCAAAGCCTCTTTTGTCATGCATGAAACTAAGAAAAAACATGAAATAAACACATGCTCAAGACCTTTCCTTCAAACAAACGCAGCCTTGACCATTTTCATCATCAAACAAAAGAATAGGGCAAGTTTTATTTGTTAAATTTAAGTAAATTAATTTACATGAACTATTAATTCATATTAAAGGAGTAGTTCACTTTTAAAAAAAAAACTTTTGCTGATAATTTACTCACCCCCATGTCATCCAAGATGTCCACGTCTTTCTTTCTTTAGTCAAAAAGAAATTAATGTTTTTGATGAAAACATTCCAGGATTTTCTCCATATAATGGACTTCAATGGGAACCAAACTGTTCAAGGTCCAAAAGAGAGTTTCAGTGCAGCTTCAAAGGGCTTTAAACGACACCAGATGATGAATAAGGGTCTTATTAAGGACCCTTCGAGTCATGATTCGAAAAAAGATTTGTTCATTTTGATGAAAGAGTTTGAACAGGAGAGTCACGAACGGTCATCACAGATCAGAGGAAGGCGAGCATTTGTGCTTATAAAACTTAAACTTTTTTATTTATTTTTTAAATGAGCGATCATTTCGCTTGATAAGAACCTTATTCATCGTCTGGTGTTGTTTAAAGCCCTTTGAAGCTGCACTGAAACTCTCATTTGGACCTTGAACCGTTTGGTTCCCATTGAAGTCCATTATATGGAGAAAATCCTGGAATGTTTTCATCAAAAACCTTAATTTCTTTTCGACTGAAGAAAGAAAGACAAGGACATCTTGGATGACATGGGGGTGAGTAAATTATCAGCAAATGTTTTCTAAAAGTGAACTACTCCTTTAAGTTTAACATTTAATCGTCCAATTCAATTTTAAAATCAAAAGACAATGCATTTTTAAGGGAAAAAAGGGGAGAGATTTACAATAATGTCACATTCGTATGCTACAGTAGTTAATTGATTAACTAACAATAACGAGTATACATTTTTTACAGTGTTTATTAATCTTTGTTAACATTAGATTAAAAAAAATACAACTGCTCATTGTTTCTTTTATCTCTATAATGAATTAGTAAATGTTTAATCTAAGATTAATAAATGTTAGTTCATGATAATTAATGTTAACAAATGGAACCTTATTTTAAGTGTTAATGAAAATTGTAAAAAATAAATAAATACATTTTAATAAAACCAAAACATCAAATTTCTAAAAATTCATAAAAGATATATTATTGGTCTTTGTTAGTTTGTTAGCAACATTGATGTTAACAGATGAGACATTATTGTAAAACAGAATAGTTTTTAGTTACCAGAATAGTTTAAAATAAAATTGTTTCGAAAACTTTTCGTATTTTTTTTTCATTTGTGGAACACAAAAGTAATTTGAGCAGCATGAACATTCTTGAAAATACCGCTTTTCACAGATGGATAAAAGTCAAATGGGTTTGGAAAACGCGAGGGTGAGTAAGTGATGAGAGAATTTTCATTTTTGGGTGAACTATCCTTTTAACTGGGGTTCTAGTTGAACACTCTTTCGCCAAGGTAAATGAGCCTAATTGAATGCTTTACACCATTAAAACTGCCCCAGCAGAGAGGATGCCAACCTGTGTGAGTGTATTCCTACTGTAATGGCTTTTCAGTGTGTATATGAATGCAAACGACCCTCTTTTAAAAGCTCCCCCTCCCCACAAAACATCCATTAAGACATTTCATTTCGCAGCCACAAAACGAGAGAGACTCCAATAAGTAACATATTAGACCACTTTAGCTGCATGGTCAACCCTGTTATGATGCAGAGAGTGGATTTCTTTGGATGTACACACAGGTTAAAGAAACATTTATATGCATAAAAACTCAACCCCTGCCTCTAAATAACGCTCTGGTTTAATTAGATTTAAAGGTCAGCGTGTGCTGTTTGGGAAGAGCATGTTATATTATCATAAAACCCTTGGAAGAGTGTCAACACATTCAGATTTGACAGCCCTTATGTTTAATTCAATTGAAAAAAAGTGTGCATTAGTGCAAGCAAACCTTTCAACACATTTTTGCATGGTTTTGTCAGGTAGCCTAAAAATGCTGTAAATGAAGTAGTTTTGTTCAAGAATATTTTTTTAATAATAATATTGTTTCAACAAGAGTACATTAGGTCAGATCAGGTAAAAATATATTTTTTTTTAGCATTTCTTGACATTTTTAAGTTCAAAAGAACAGCATTAATTTCAAATAGAAATCGTTTGTAATAACGGCATGCAATATTCATGTCTGTAGCCTTTAATATTGCTTGAATGAATCAATAAATCAAAAGTAGCCTAATTTTTTCAAAACTTACAGTACTGTATCTATTTGGTTCACACGAAAAGTTGTCTTATTCATTTGCTATGTAAATGTATGGGAGAAATGGAGAAAACAGTTTCTAAGCAGGGTGTTTGGGGGTCAGAAGGTGTTTGAAGGGTGACAGCTTGTGCTTTGATCATTAGAGGAAGAGGAAGGGACGATTCTTCATGGATTACACGATCAAACGCGGTGAAATGCACACACAAACAAAAAGAAAAAAAATTGTACTCACAGACACACACACACAGCGACCGGAGATTTGCGAGTTCCACTCGACTGATAGTCTGACAGCTCTGACTAATCAATCACTCTCTCTTTTCCTCCATTCACTGAATAAACGAAGAGAAAAAAAACATTAGTGGAGCTCTCCTTCATTTTCTGAACTTTAGCACTTTTTTTGCAAGCACACAGACATGAAAAAATGCAGAAACAAATAGCCTAGAGCTAAAAATGAATATGCTTTATCTAAACAATATAATTGTGGCAACAGATTACAAGCAATATTGTTAATTAAATGTAACAAATTAGAATTGAGTAATAATTAATCAAATCATTCCTTAAAAGTTAACCATTTAAAATAAGTAAAGTTTACACCAAAAAAATTTAACAAAAATATCTCACTAACAGACAGATGTCAAAGATTAATTAAGAACTCTTTAGTTTATATTGCCAACATTGAAGACACCTGATGTTAACAAGCAGAATCACTGAAGGAGAAAACCGCAATTTTAAAACAAACCTTAAAACAAACAAACACTGATCACCATAATGGTGACTTCAATTTATGATTTTTTTGGTTGTTGTTGTAAGTTTTACTCATTTTAAATGGTTAACTTTTAAGGAATTAATTTGATTAATTATTACTCAATTCTAATTTGTTAAATTAAATTAATAATATTGTTTGTAATCTGTTGCCACAATTTTTTTGATTAGATAAAGCATATACTTTTTTACAGTGTAATACTAAGGTGATTTTTTATATATTACCACAACTCAACAGACATGAGCTGTATTAATTTACAATGCATTCAAATTCTTCTAATTGGTGATGTTTAACCAGTTTATATACTGTAGAAGCTTGATTCTGCCACAGAATATATCAAATTAAAAATCTAGTTGTGAATTTATCTCACAATTCTGATTTTTTTCTAAGAATTGTGAAATAAAAAAGTCAGAATTTCGAGAAAAAAAACTCGAAAAAAACATGTTTTTATCTCTCACAATTCAGACTTTATAATTCTCAATTGCAAGTTTATATCTCATAATTCAGATGATTGTGGGTAGTCTGTAGACTGTTAAAAATACGATAGCAATATTTGAGGTTTTACAGACTTTGACCATATTTACCAGCAAAATTAATAAACTAACAACTAACAAAATAAACCGTAATTCATTATCTGATTAATTTACTGATTAATTTTATTATAATGTTAATTTACTGACCTTTTGAAGTTTTAACATCTGTTTTGTTCAATTGTAATACACTGACAGCCAACAATCACAGCCATAATGAAAGTCACATGATCAATCAAAGCTCATCATAATCAGCTCTTCCTCAAGAAAGTTCATACTATTGTATAGAAGCTGCACAGTGTCATTCACACAAACATTAAACACCATCATGGTAACATGCTGAAATTTAAAAAATGCAATAAGTATTCATTTAACAACATTAAATGTAACATAAAACCATAAATGTGTACAACAGATTAGAAAAAAAAAAATAAGAAAATTATAAAGAAACGTGAAGTGTCAGGCAGGGAACTGTGGGAAATTTCAATTTACATTTTTTCATTGTAAATTATACAATGACTTATTTTTCACTTCCAAAAACTGTAAACTTAACAGTATTTTACAGTAAAATTACATGAAATTTACCATTAGATCTATCACAGTTATTTACCGTCTATAGTAAGGAAACTTTCTGTTAACCAATTAACAGTTTTTCAATGTAGCATTTTTACAGTCTTTTACTGTTAAAATCACGATCATTTTTTACAGTACTGATTAGAAAAATGTCTTGAACACAACTACCTAATTTAGATGCATCTAAATTAGGTAGTTTTGTTCAAGACATTTTCATTATTGTTTCAACAAGAATACATCAATTCAGAAATGTAGGATATGCAATACTGTACCAGGTGAGGAGCGCAACTGTAATGAGCAGCTTAAATGATAAATCTAATGGAAATTTGGTTCGGTGCTCATGCAATAATTTCAAGCACACAAACAGTAAATACAAACGCACACGCATCATTTCATCCAGTGAAATCAGATTTGATGTCCAACATAATCAGATGCATTAGCATAAATTGCTTGTTTGGTTGTAAATATGTTTCAACGTGAGTGTGTGTGTGTTTCTCACTAAAGCTTTCAGTGTGTTTTTCTCATTGTGGGCTGTAAACTCTCTCTACAGGAGTCTAACAACATGAACACACGCACACACCTTGTTCTTTTGAAACCTGCGGTAATTGACCCGAGTCATTTTGATCATGGACTGCACTAGTGTCTGGTAAAACCATTGATTTGGCTAATGAGGTCAACCCTGGTTCACACACAACTGTTGCTTACTTAAGGCACATTATTGTCAGCAGACACCATTGCGTTTGCCCACAAGTGGCTGCTGGGAGACATATGATTTGTAATGTAAATACTTGACAGTTCTAATAATAATTCCAATAAAAAAGTCTAAATGTGCAGTTGATAACTTAAGGAGCTATTTCGACACAATCTTATCTTAAAAAAATAAAAAAATAAATAAAAATTGCATTTCTCATGACAGTACAAAATTTAATGTATTAATTCACTCTAATGCACACATTAGATTACGTTATTTACATGTTTCATCAATGACATCAGTCTTTACTGGAAATGGTTGTATCATATATGACCAAAATTTACCTCACACTGAGATATTACTTACATTCAAGGTGTAATTTAATATCATCCATTACTAAACTGGCACTGAGACCCTTCCCTATTAAAGTTTTATCACCTCTCATATCATGAGAGGAACCAATATTAGTTTTTTATCATTTGATTTCCCTGGTTTTCTAAATCTGTGCGTCTCACTAATCAATCTGCCAGTGGCAAACAGAAAAATAATTCTTCATTTACCTTTGCTTATCCCTTTTTATTTAATAACACGGGTGAACTGTACATTTTTATCCGTCTGCTTAACCACGGGCTACAATTGACTGTTTCTGGCATACTTTCTTTAAAATTGCTTAAAATCAGAGTTTATATTGCTTGTATTCAATAAACTTTAATTAGTTCATTTACAATGTCTTAGTAGGTCAATCAGTGTAATATAAAGATTGGGTGATGAAACGTAGATGCAGTGTAAAAATGTTGTCAGGTCATCTAAAAAGTTGCTTCATGTTGTAAAATCTAAATTGGCAGATTTTATGCAAGTGAAAAAAATATTTTAATATGACTGAATCAACCTGAACATATTAAAGGGGTCATGAACTGGCTTTTTAAATTTTATTATATTGTTGTCTGAGGTCAACTTATGACGTTTGCTTGGTTTTTGCATTCAAAAACATCAAAATGAATAAGTAATAGACTATTTTCTACCCTATTTTTGAGCCTACCTGAAAAACGCTCGGTTTTATGGGTGTCTCGCACTGAAGACTTGGAAGTAAACGCCCACTGCTGTGAGTGGACAACAGTTTTGCATATTATAATGAGTTTCGACTCACCCGTCGATGCACTTGGGGGAAATTGTTTTGAAAACGTCCAATGTTGTAAAATGGCAACCGGAATGATTCGCCCATACATGTTTGACCCAGAGTCCGAGTGTCCGACTTGAGAAGACACTCTTCTCCACTCCTCAAATACATGACACATTTATATAGTATTTCTTGACTAAAAAAACACTCTACTTAATCAAAGATTCAGTTCTTTATTTACCCTTTTAATGCAAACAAGCAGAGGCGTCGTGTATCATGCATGATACAGTAAAAAGTGATCAGTTGACTTAACTTAAAATAAGTGAGGAAACCCGTTGCCTTACAAATAAGTTAATAAACTTCATGCGTAATTGAAAAAATTAAGTTATGTGGAACACTCACATAACTTAATTTTTTCAATTACGCATGAAGTTTATTACAAGGCAACTTTTAAAAGTTAAGTCAACTGATCAAGGTGGAGTTATGAGGTTTGACTGACAGTTTGAGGATCCAATGGAGCTGCAAGGTTTAGTCACAAGCTCTTTTTAATACTTTTCATTGGTTAGATATATTACAAAAAAAAGACAGTCAGACAGACGTAAAAAAGGTGACCAATGTCATGAATTATGGAGAAAAAAAAATAAAACTGACGAAAAATGAAGATATAAGGTTCCTGCCGGAGAGCATATGTAGTTATTTATTGAAATACAAAAGTTACACAAAGGTTTAAATGTTTCCACCTACTAAATGTAGCTCTAACTAATTATAATTTACGCAACAGTGGTGATATTTACACAGAGGTATGGAGCTTTTCTAACAGCTGGGCTTTTACAACATGTTGTTATATTGTAATTTGCCATGCAAATATGAACTATGTATTACTTAAAATGTCAGGATTGTTCATAAAATATTTATCATTTGCAAAATAAATAAATGTAATAAAATGCAACACATAAACGTTATGATCTATAAATAATGTAAATTGTAAAATGTAAGAAGAATTAGTTGGAATTGCAAGATAAAAAAGATTGAAAAAGCAGGGATTCAATCAAACGCAAGTAAATCATTTAAAAGCATTCAGAAATCAGTAGACAATGACACTATAATTTCCTCCGGCCTCCCTCTGTAGTCTACTCTCTCCAGTCATGTTAAAGCGGTGATTAGGTGTTAACTAATCTCCACTGGCCAGGGTACGACCTGCGCCCCCCTCCTTCCCTCACCGAAAAAGAAAACCTCGAATATTTATGCTGCAATACAGTATTTTTATGCTTTTCTTCATGAAATCATTAGTGCTTGACATTTTTATTGAATTACTTTTGATTGTTGATGCTGCCTAACTGTACCATTTGTAAAACGTCTCATTACTTTAAAGTAAAACACATCATAAATCCTGAAGACAAAGGTGATAACAGGACTAAAGCATGAGAGAACAGACTCTTGGTAGAGACGTTTATTTCAATAATTTGTGTCGCTCTAATAAATGGATTGGTTGTGCTTCTATAACTCAAGACACAAATGAGGTTGGCTTCCTGGGGACCACTGGAGATCAGGTGTATTTAACCCCCTGTGCTTCCCTTTCTCGCCCGCTCTCCTTTTCTTACATGCTCTCATTTAGAATTAGGGTGTTTCTTAGGAAATCCC